TCTCACTCTGTTGCCCTGGCTGGAGTGCAGTGGCATGCTCATGGCCACCACAACCTCGACCTGCTAGACTCAGGCAAGCCTTTCTCCTCAGCCTTCCAAGTAGCTGGAACTACAGGCACGCATCACCTTGCCCAGCGAATATTTTGATTTATTGTAGAGATGAGGTGTCGCCAAGTTGCCCAGGCTGGTCTCGAACCCATGAGCTCAGGCAGTCCTCTCACCTCGGTCTCCCAAAGTGCTGGGATTATAGGCATGAGCCACTGTACCCAGCCTGAATTTTTTTTTAGTTTATTTTTTGACCAGGCTTGGTGGCTTAGCCTGTAATTCCAGCACTTTGGGAGACCGAGGCGAGTGGATTGCCTGAGCCTGCGGGTTCGAGACCCACCCGGGCAACTTGGCAAGACCTCATCTCTACAGTAAATCAAAAAAAATTAGCCGGGCGTGGTAGTGCGCACCTGTAGTTCTGCCTACTTGGAAGGCTGAGGCGGAAGGATTGCCGGAGCCCAGCAGGACGAGGCTGCAGTGGCCAGGAGCGAGCCACTGTACTGCAGTCTGGACGTCAGAGTGAGACTCCAACTCAAAAAATAAATAAATTTCTTTTTTGTAGAGACGAGATCTCGCCCTGTTGCCCAGGGTGGTCTCCAACTCTTGGGCTCAGGCAATCCTCCTGTGTTGGCCATCCAAAGTGCTGGGACTACAATCGTGAGCCACTGCACCCAACCGAAGAGCATTTTCAAGGCTTCCCTGGCACTCTGCAGCCCAAGAAGAGCTGCTGCCCTGGGCTCAATGAGGTGGGCCCTTGGCTTGGCCCCTGCACCCAAGATATTTGATAGATGCATGCTAAACAGCCGAAGTAAATGTCGGTGTGCAGAAAGCTACAGAGAATTGTCTGCCGCAGTTGTGTCCACTGGCAGTCCATCAGGGTGCAGAGGCCATGACACGGCCCTGTCCCCTGGCAGCAGGCCTCCTGGGGTTTCCTTGTTTATAGGCTGACCTCACTGGGCTACAGCCTGCCTCCAGGCCTGTGTCAGTGCACAGTGAGGGAAGCCGAAGCCGCATCATTGGGTTCCCTCTCCTCTCCCTTTCTCTTCCCTCGAACAGGGCTTTTGTTTTGAGCTTTGGGTGACTGAGCCTCCCCAGCTGGCATCCAGTGACCTTTTGTGCATATGCAAATCCAGCCTTTGGATTTTATTCCTGAGGGGACTCTCCCAGGGGTTGGGTTCTGCACCTCCTGGCTTCACACACCTGCTGTGGCCTGCGAGCTCGAGCTCCGTGCTGAGTCGCAAGGAAGGACAAGGCCCTTGGGGGAGTGAAGGCCTGAGGTGGGCTGTGTTTGCAGGGCAGATGTTCCCCCAAAAGCTGAGAGAGCTGAGAGGGGACCAGCGAGCCCCACCCAGCCGGGGTGGGGGAGGTCTCCCCCTTCCTGGACGGGTTTTGAGTCTCCAGACATGGCTTTATTAAGTGTCAGTCAGCCACACGCACGCATGGTCATCCTGGGATTCCACAGGTACCTCCCTGCCCCTCGGCGGGACCATGGAGACTCACTGTGTATGACATCTCCAGGAAAGGGCAGGCCCAGCAACTGACATAGGACCCTTTCTTGCTTCCCTGGTGATGGTTATGTCTTGTCGCCCCTGGCTACCTGCTCTCAGCATCTAGGCTTGCGTCCTCACCCCTGTCTGATAGTCACATGATTGTGCCCAAACTTGCAGCTTTCAGGAGCTTCTCAGGAAATCCGAGTCTTTGCTGTGATCTGTGAGTCCCACCGGGGCCTGGCCTGGCCTCTGCCCATCTGCCCTCTCCGGCCCCTCCCTGCTGCTTTCTCCATAGTCACACGGCCTGTCCCCTCCCTCCCTCAGGTCCCCAGGACTCCCTTATACTCTGAGTCCCGGCAGCCCTGCCCTGCCCTCCCTGGACAAGGCATCCCAGACCTGTCCATTCACAGCCAGTCTCCCCAGCTGCACCACAGCCCCCCCCCACAACCAGCGCCGCAATGGGGGCAGTCTCAGCTGCTGAAGCCCACCTGGCAGTCACAGGTGCTCCAGAGACGTCTGTCGAGTTCATGCTGAATACTGATTCCATCCCAGTCGGTAGACACGGGGGGCATATGCGGCTCTTCTGGAGGTGTGAGTCGGCTGTGCCACTGCTAGGTTCTCTGGGACTTCTACCCTCCGCGCCATTTCTGTGAGAAGTCTGACTTTCTTCCTTAAATGTAAGAATTACTAGAACTGGCCACGCAGCTACTAGGGAGGCCAAGGCAGGAGGATTGCTTGGACTCAGGAGTTGCTGTCCAGCCTGGGCAACATAGCAAGACACCATCTCTTAAAAGAAAATCAGAATTTCTAGAACTGATTTCATGTGTATCTGTGTTAGCTTAAAAATCCTAGTGGCGGGGAGGGCCTCTAAAATGTTATGTCAGACCCAATCGAGGGTGTGTCTTGTTTGCCACCTGGTGCCGCATGTAATCCCAGCACTTTGGGAGGCTAAGGCAAGAGGATTGCCTGAGCCCAGGGGTTCAGGACCAGCCTGAGCAACTTGGTGAGACCTCACTACAGTAAATCACAAAAATTAGCTGGGCATGGTGGCATGCGTCTGTAGTTCGAGCTACTTGGAAGGCTGAGGCAGAAGGATCGCCTAAGCTCAGTAGGTTGAGGCTGCAGTGGCTGTGAGTGTGCCACTGCACTCCAGTCTGGGCAACAAGAGTAAGACTCCAACTCAAAAAAAAAAAAGATGCAAAGGATTGCCCAGAAGTGAGATTGGAGCATATAGTTTATTTAGAGGGTAAATTCGAGAGAGAGGGAGGGAGGGGGGAGGGGAAGGAAGGGGAGCAAAACTTAGGAAAACATGGCGGCCATAGCTCAAAGAGCCGCATGGACACACCAGAGTTAACAAAGCAGTGGCGACTTCTGTTTGAAGTTGAATGTCTTTTAAGCTTTTCCCTTTATGGGGGCAAGTTGTTAAGGTGACTGGGTGGTGGTCTGCTCCATGTCATCACGCAGGGCAGGAAAGCACAGGTCCAGGCGTCAGGTGATGGGTGGCAGGCAGGCAGGCAGGCGGGTGGGTCAGTGACATGACTGCTGCCTTGTTGATGGGGTCTGGGTCATGAGGGTCATGAGAGGCTAATTAGGTTAACTTGTTTACAAAACAGTCTGAGGAGGGCTGTAGAACAATTATCGATAGTTGACTCTGAGAAACCAGTTCTGTCCTTGGCTAGTGATCAGAGGGCAAGTTAAAGTGAACTGCTAGAAAAACAAGACAAAGCTAATAAGCAATGTTAAAATGACTACTCATTGGATAAATTGACTGTATGTTATGTCCTTTCAGTCTGTCTCTTTAAAAACAAAAACCAATCAGAATTAATAGAGTGGATTACACGTGTATCTGTAGGGTGACACTCAAGGCTGTGAATGTCCCCAGGCCCTGGCAGGCTCCTGAGAGCTGAATGTGGCCTTCATGGCCTCACATGACTCCTCCAGCGCCCTTGGGCCCAGCACCTCCCTTCTGGAGTCTTAAACTTCACCTCCACCAGGGGAAGCCTCTGCTGGGAACGGGTTGTTCTTAGAACAATGAGAACACTTAGAACTGTGAGAGCACTCGTACTTTCAGTTCTTTAAAAGGGAGGGACAGATTTCCCTGCAGAATCTGTTTTCTCCATATTGGCTTCATGTCCTGTGCTTTATGAGAAAAATCCATTTTCTCTGCAGTTATTTTCATCATAATATAAACTAATTGATGTTTTCCAAGGTTTTGAGTTCGTGTTTATTCAATTTTATGAGAAAATTTAGGAAACTGCACGATGAGCAAAGCAAGGGGCCTTCCGCAGGGCTCGGGCTGGCGGGTGGGGAGGCTGATGTGTTGACCTGAGCCCAGCGGGCTGGCTGGGACGCTGGGGACACAGACTCAGGCACGGATCTCCCAGCACGTGCCTAGGCCCTCCCAGTCGGGAGTCCTTGCAAAAGCAGCCTTCCCAAGGCAGGAGTTCTCATTTTGCCAAGGTGTGACCCTCATCATCCTCCCATGACTTCTCCCCACAGTGCTCTGGGTGAGGCCCCCATTTTCCCTGTTAGAGAAGGCGAGTTGTCACAGCCACACCCCAGGTAGTGGTAGAGCCAGCATCTGGCCCAGGCCACCCACCCCAGGAATGTTGCGCTTAACCAGTGACTCAGACCCGGGGCCATTTACAAATTTTTTTTTTTTTGAGTTGGAATCTCACTGTGTCGCCCAGGCTGGAGTGCAGTGACATGCTCATGGCCACCGCAGTCTCAGTCTGCTGGGCTCAGGCGATCCTTCCACCTCAGTCTTCCAAGTATCTGGAGCACGCGATGCCATGCCTGGCTAATTTTTTGATTTTTAATGTAGAAATGAAGTCTCCCCAAGTTGCCCAGGCTTGTCTCAAACCCGTGGGCTCAGGCAGTCCTCTCACCTTGGCCTCCCAAAGTGCTGGAATTATAGGCATGAACCACCTCGCCCAGTCTGTTTAAATTGAAATCAAAGTCAAATCAACTGAGTTCTTTCATGACACTGGCCATATTTCAAGTGTGCAAAGGCACATGTGGCCAGTGTGGGCCCTCACCACAATGTTGCTGGTCCATCATCACAGGACGTGTCCTGGGCAGCCCTGCCCCAGGCTGTCTGCCCTCCTGGCGCTCCCTTGTGACTTGTTAGAGAAGTCTGGGCATGGCTAAGGCAACTGGGTGGCTGTGACTTGTGTCACTTGCTGTGCTCACTTTCTTTACAGAAAGATAAGCCTTAGACAGAGCGCCATAACAATGCCGTGATTTCTTTCATAGGCATAATCACTGTTCCAAACTGAGTTGCAGTTCAAGAAAGGGTTATGAGTCCCTTCTCGGTAATAACTGTCCTCATGTTCCTCTCCTGGAAAGAGAGAGGTGACCAAAGAATTCTTCCTTCCCAGTGGAATCTCTGACAGCCCAGCCCAGGGCCACAGCTGCAGCGGCCAGGACACAAGGGACCTTCATCTGTGCTTGGTGTCTTTGCAGGGCGGCAATGACCACGAGATCTTCACAGACCCCAGGACAGTGGGCTACACCGTGACGGCACCTGAGGACACACGCAGGCTCTGTGAAGTGATCTTCTTATAGATGCAGGGTAGGGTGGGCAGGTCCTGGCTGGCCAGCCTACAGGAGCCCTTCGGTGGCCAAGGCCCACACGTGTACCCGCAGCCCAGCCAGGCTCCCACGTCGTGCCAGGCTCCAGAAGCCACCAGAAGGGAACAGAAAAGTCTTGCCAGGAATGGCTCAAAGAATACCTCCAACAGAAGATTCTGTCCCCCAGGACAGTCTAAGACCTGCCTGATTGGTACAATCACAGCACACATTTTTTGGGGAACCTCCCCATCATTCACAAAGAAAAAAATGTGCCTGGGTCCCCCCTCTTTATGGGTCTCATGAAAACATACGTGGGGTGAGTGTCAACACCGAAAGGGGGATCTGGTGATGAGACAGTAAGGGGGCACCCAGCCAGGATGTCTGCAGCCGCCCCCAGCAGGAGTTTACAGACACTCCATGAAGGGACGTGCCCCTGCATGTCACCTGGATGGGCTGTGCCTGGAAGCTGGGCGTGGCGTGAGTCTCAGGGACTGGGCATGCTGTTCTCCACGCCACTTCCTTGATGAGGCCGAGGCCTTGGACAGATGGCCAGCCAACAACAGCCGACTTGAGAGTTGGCACCCCAGCTGCCCAGGGCTCAGGCCAGCTCTTGTACATCTTGAATAGCCTGGCTGCTCTCCGTAGCCATCGAGACCCCGGCCCTGGTGGAGAACTGGCACAACAGTCCTTCCCTGCAGGCCGGCTCTGAGCCAGGTTTGGAGAAACTGACCTGGGGTGTCCGATTCCCCACACGGACCCTGGCAGGCTTGGCAGGGCCTCCTGGCAGTGTTGGCCCCAGCTCCTCGGATGGGTGCAAGCCTGGATAGGAGATAGAACCGGAGCCTGCTTCCCGGGAGCCCCTGGCCCCGCCCAACCCTGAATGAAGCCGGCCTGCCTCCCTCCCACCTCCCTCCCACGTGCTGCGGGTTCTTTGTGAGACAAAGGGGCTGCAGCCTCCTGGTGGAAGACAGGTTTCCAAGGCAACTGTTCACGTGGCACTTCGGGGAGCAGAAGCCCCAGGACCCTGCTCCCTCCGCGATCGGCTGGGCTGGGTGGCTCTGCGGGGCACCCCTGGGTGATTCCATCACACCCAGTCCTGTCTGGCATCTCTGCCTGGGCTGGGTGAAGCAGGACGCCCTTACCCCAGGGCCCCCCGAGCCCCCCACCTAGCAGCAATGTCATGGCCCTTCAGAATGGACGCAGCACACTAAAGTATGTTTTCTATTCTGTTTTCCTCCCTGACTGGTGAAGAGGAGCCATTGAGTCTCTTCTCAGACTCCGGAAGGAACACCAGCCCTTTTGGGCTCTGGCACGCCTGTGACAGGGAGCCCCTGCCTGTCCAGACACAGGCGCCTCCTCCCTGCTTCCTGCCACATGTCAGGGCCCACAGTCCCTGGACTTCTGTCACCTACTATGTCGAAGCGAGACAGCGGGTCCCACCCAGGCTCGTGCCAGGCTGGCGCTGATGCCTCAGGCCTGGGCTGCCCTCCCACGACTCCCACATGGCTGCTTCGCCCACCAGCCCCTGCCACCTCGCCCCACTGTCACGGGTTCCTCTACTTCCACCTCAAAAGGACTTGGAGCCTCCCCCAACTGTCCCCTGCTGTCATCTGGTCATCCCAGCCCAGCTTGCTAGGACTTACGCCCCGGGACGCAGTGGAGTCAGGGCCACGCGACACAGGCACAGCGCCTCCTGGGGCCTTGCCTTGCATGGCTCCGCGTGGCAGGGGCTGCAGGAGGCAGATGAGAGCAGGACCAGGACGGCGCAAAGCCTGCTGCTGCTGAACACTAACTCAGGATGATCCCTGCCTCTGTTTACCCATCTGTCAAATGGGAGAGTCCTCGTCACATAATTTAAACAAGTTTCACAAAGCACTTTGAACAGTGTGTGCTGTTATTACCAACTCGAGTACCTCCACCCAAGAAACCCTGTAACTCAGGGACAGTCATCCTCTCTGCTTTAGGGAGGTGGCAGCATAAAGGAACTGTCACAAGAAAGTTAAACACGGTAGGTAAGCGCTGAGCCAGTGCAAAGCAGAGGTTGCACCCAGGCCAGCCTGGCGCCGCTAGGAAAGTCATCACCCCACCCCGCACCACAGAAGCTGACCTGGACCAAGGTCACCCAGGGCTTAAGAAGGCCCAGGGTGAACTTGATGGCTAGTGAGTGGGGCGGAGGTTCCTGGGGGACAGGCCTGCCAAGAAGGAAGGAGCCTGAGCCCAGGGAAGCACCATGGTAGGTGTAAGGGCACCAGGAGAGACCCAGCTAGCAGATGCTGCCATAATCCTAACGCACCCCAGAACGTGGCTTGAGTCACTAAGGGCTGCTGCCTCTTCCTCCCACCCCTCCCCAGGGCTCCTGATCTCGGCCCTGCCAGGCCTCAGCCCCGACGGGCACCTCCTACCCTAGGAGAGCAGCCAGGCTCAGGGCTCCCACTCCACAGCACCCCAAAGCCAAGGCCTGGAACTCCTCCCTACCCCAGGGCTGCCTTCCTGCATGTCCTGCCCACTGCAGGCCTTCCCCATGCTGCCCGTGTGTGCCGATTCCACGGCCACCACTCATGACCTGGAGCCAGGTGCCTGCTTTAGCGTGGTTATAACTTTTCCCAATACACTACACATCAACAATAAAGGCCAGGCTCAGCGGCTCAGTCTGTAATCCCAGCATTTTGGGAGGCCGAGGCGAGAGGATTGCCTGAACCCGTGGGTTCGAGACCCACCCAAGCAACTTGGCAAGACCTTGTCTCTACAATAAATCAAAAATTAGCTGGGCGTGGTAGCACACACCTGTAGTTTCAACTACTTGGAAGGCTGAGACAGAAGGATCGCTGGAACCCAGCAGGTCGAGGCTGCAGTGGCCAGGAGCATGCCACTGCACTCCAGTCTGGGCAACAGAGTGAGACTCCAACACCAAAAAAAGCCAAAACAATAAAAATGCCCATCTCTGGCCACCCAAAATCACTGCCTCTTTGGAAACACTGGCTGGGGCAAAAACTTCCTAGTAGGCACATGGTCCCTCGCAGCATGGCCCCTTCGGGCCATCCCAGCCCCCTACACACACACCTCCCCCCCATCATTCTGGAAACCAAGAGGGCCCTCAACCCTCTACCTCAGCCGTCTGGCTGCCACAGCTCCATTGGCAAACTATTCCTCCCCCAAGAGCCATGAACACCCTAGAGACATCTACCCTAGTACTCTCCCGCCAGCCCTTGGACCCTTGTGGGTGGGGTCGACCTTGAGTTTCAAGCCCCCCATCAGGGCCTGGAGAGTGCACGCGCCAGGGACCCTCCATCATGGGCATGCAGTGGGGGAAATGAGGGTTCTCGCGCACACACAGGCTTCCAATGGGCACTTAGCCACAGCCGGGTGGATGGCGTTTGCTATTGCCAGCAGGCACACCTGCAGCCAGGCTTTCCTAGGTGAGAGGATGATGAAAGGACACAGAAAGTCCCTCTTCTTACCCGCCACCCCTAAACCCAGGCCAGAGTGGAACATGTCAGCCACTGGGAAGACACCCACCTGTGGCTCCAAGGACAAGCTCCCTGGCAAGTACCTTCTCATGAACACACACGGCCTCGCACAGAACAAAACTTTATTGAGGACGGCAGCTGATAGGAGGGAAGGTCTGGATTTGGGGATCCTGGCTTCTTGCCCCCACCGATGTCTCCCTCCCAGGGTGCAAGGAGCTTCCCCTTCTGTCAATTGACACCTCGCGTCCCTTCCCACAATACCAGAACGCCCCTCTACTGAAGAGCTGCGGCCATCCAGAAGAACAAAGGGTTCCAAAGGTCACCCCTGAATGGCAGAACGCAAGTTCCAGCCCAGGTTGGGCAGAGCCTGCCAGGGACACCTGTGCTCCAACCATGCCAAACCAGGGCAAAGCCACAGAGACGCTGGAAGGCAGGGAGCCACCTCAGGTCTTGGCAGAAAGGGCTTTGGAAGTGTGGCCTGCATCCAACAGAAGGCACCCCCAGGGAACCACCCAAGGCTGGAGGGGAAAGGCCACCTTTGAGTTAGCCAAAGGCGGAGGTTGAGGGGGGTGGTGCAGTTGTGGAAGAAACTGACCAGCCCAGGAAGTGGCATGGAAGTTGGTGTTTCACTGCACTCAGAATCAACACACTTATGTGCCTATTTTAAAACAACTCTCTTCCACTTCTTTCAAACAAAGCCGCTCCTGGGCTGAAAGGGATAAACACGTCAGAGTTGGGACGCTTGAAGAGGCCAGTGGCGCATCCGGCATCAGACAGTCCTCCCTCGTGTCTGCCCCAAAGCCACCATCGCGGAGGGGCTGCTTCCCTGCATTCATGGTGGACTCGACCACATATAGGCTGTTTATTTCAAAACATATACCCAGCTATTTCTATTTTTAAATCACATCTAAAGCAAAACCAAAACCACAGCAAAGAAAATCTTAAGACTTGACTGGCACTACCTACAAAAATCTGCAATGTCACAGCAACGTGCAAACAAGGCTAGCTGGGGTGACCAGCTTTAGTGGCCAAAAAAGAAAAAGAAAAAACTCCTAGCATTTTTTAACATCAGTTTTAAGGAAAAGCCCCTCACCCAAGGTGTGTCTCTCCTTCAACGCTGACCTTACCAGGCGGTCGGGGACAAGTGACCCACTCTGCTGGCTGGACCTGGAGAAAGCTGTTTTTCGACCAAGGCCCTGCCCTTTCCACAAGCCCTCCTGCCACCCACCACCACCACCTCAGGGACAGGGGCTGTGAGACGGCTGCCGGCTGCCAAGTGATGACCCCGCCACAGGAAGACGGAAGGGGACTGGAGTTCAGCCCCTCAGCACAGGCGGCCACGCCCAGGGATCCCGCTGTGGAAAACTGGCTCCCCAGACACACACACGCCGTGAGGACCGCGGTCAAGGCACTGAACGGCACTCTCTCTCCAGCCCAAGACCCCACTCTCCACATCCCCTGCAAAGCAGCACCCAAACCAAACAAGCCGGGAGTCGGAAGACTGCTCCACCCAGGTCCACGGAGAGACCCGAGCAGCGCTCAGGGGGAAAGTCACGCGGGGAAGTCACACAGGGTCCACACTCCCCACCAGGGGCAAGACGGGGGTGGCGGGAGGCCGGAGCCTCCAGCTCCAGGGGTGAGGGGAGCCCCTCTCCGGGAGGCCGGCCGACACCCCGACCCTCCCCAGGGCAGGGGGGGGGCGGGGGGGGGCGGGCCTCCACTCCTGCGCCTCTCCTTTTCAAATGCCTTTAATGCTTTTCAGATGGTGAGAGGTGGTTGTGATGGTCGGAGGCTGTGCTGGTGGCCAACAGCACCCCCACGTGTGTGCCCACACCCCTTCCTCCAGGAGATACTTGAGGGGGACCAGGGGCCCCCAGAAACCCCATCTCGTGTGGCAGAATGTCATCTCCAGGGTGGTCCTGCCTCCTCCGCCCCGAGTCTCCCACGAGCCAGGAGAAGGGAGCTTCCGGCGTCTCCTAGGAGCTGATGACATGTCCCGACCAGGTCTCGTGCTTGGTGCCAGGCGCCAGGTGGGTGATGACCACCTCCACAGCCTGCAGCTTCTCGTTCTTGGGTGGGATGGAGCACATCTTATAGGTGACCTCATCGCCTTCCATGGGCACATACTCCCCTTCCACGCTATGGAGGTGCAGAGAAAGCAGTTAGTGTCCGCACGGTGAGGGGCTTGCAGACGCCTAGCCAAGGCCCCGGCACCCTCCCAGGCGAGGCAAAGGGCAACCAGGGCGCACCATCTGGCCAACCACCTGGAGCCCCTTCCCCAACAACTGCCCCTCTGGCACTGGGCGCCACCGCACTGCCCGCAGCCTCAGTGTCCTGGACATGGAGCCCGACCCAATCAGCTCCTTCCCTGGGACTTCTGAGGCTGGAAGTGAAAGCACATGGCCATCTGGGGGAGCCCCCACTGCAACAGGGACCATGGGAGCCTGGGCTTGTGGATGGAAGGGCACACACAGCCAGTCTGCGTCAGAGAAACGTGGCCGTCACAGAAGGAGATCCGGTGCTGAGTTGCCCCAGGCAGGGGTCCCGGAGCTCCCACAGTGGCCCCTGGTCCTGGGTGTCCCAGAATCCACACCGTGTCTTTGCTCTTGAATTCCCCAGACAACCTGCTGAGCCTTTGGTAAAGCCCCTTTTGTGCTGATAGCCAGTTTCTTCAGGGGTCCTCTCCCTTGTGATCACGCCCCGGAAGGGTCCTTTACTTTCTTTTTTTTTTTTTTTGAGTTAGAGTCTCACTCTTTTGTCCAGGCTGGAGTGCAGTGGCACACTCCCAATCACCAGCCTTGACCTCAGGCGATCCTTCTGCCTCAGCCTTCCAAGTAGCTGGAACTACAGGCCTGCCCAGCTAATTCTTCTTTATTGTAGAATGAGGTCTTATCAAATTGCCCATGCTGGCCTTGAAGCCGTGAGCTCAGCCAATCCTCTTACCTCAGCCTCCCAAAGTGCTGGGATGAGAGGCGTGAGCCACCGTGCCCAGCAGGTCCCTTGCTTTCTAGGGACATGAGTCACCATCTCATAGTGAGACCAGCCTCTTGATGATACCCCAGGAGGAAAATCCCTTTCAGATCCTAAACGCCAGGGCCAGCCAGTCAGCTCCCCCCAGAACTAATTGTTATTGGAAAATCACATAGTGGATGGTGTCTCCCTCTTTGTCTTGGCCACCAAGAAGCCCAGGAATAAACTGCAGTAGTTGACCTAGACATCACAGTATCTCCATCTCTTCTGTTTGCCCACCTGTGTTTTCTATACTAACTTGGAATCCTTTCTGGAAAGAGGCAGCATGGAAATGCGCCAATATACCATGTATGTGGTTACAGACACGAAATGCTTCGTGGTAGCGTCTTGTCTTGTGCCTGCACTTCAGGGGCCAGGGGACTTTAAACAGACCGGACACATAGGGACGGCGGGGAGGGCTAACCCCATCCCAGGAGACCAAGCACAACAGGATCTTGTGTTCACTAACACGGCTTTTGTGTGATCCTGTGTTTACGGACATGGCTTCTGTGTTTGCCAGGTGTGCTGTGCAGACGGGACTCTGCCTGAGGCTGTGTCTGAAGGGAGGCTGGGGAGGGAGGCCAAAGGGGGAGGGCTGAGGCTGCCGGCAAGGGTGCCTGCACAGCTGAAGGCTGCCCGGAGGACAGGGGTGAGCGCCGGCCGCTGGTGGCCGCCCAGGGCTCCCCAGGGGCTTCCA